TGAGTGTTAAACGATAAATATGGCCACTAACTCATTGCTTCTGCAGTGTGCAGCTTGCTTAGATGAATGAATTGTCAGAAATGCAGTGTTAACATCCCATGTTTTCATTGGTTAAATTTGAACAGGATCTTTGCTTCCTAGGTTGACGGGGTTGCACTGAAACTGGAAACTGCAGTAATGTCAATTTTAGCCAATTTTTTTTTGTGGAATTTTCAAAAACATAAATGTCAAAAGTCGCTAATTTCTGTTTCTCCGTTTCGTGCTAAACCCAATAGGGGCAAGGGGCCTTTCAAACTTGCAGACAGCAGTGGTTTGATCAGTTACTTGCACTGATATCTAGTGTAGCAGCCTTGAAGATCTCATTTCCAAGAATGTCGATATGATATGAACTTAAGAGCTTACCTTATAACTAACCGCTCTTTGGTTTCAAAAATCAATATTTCAAGTCATTATTTCAAGTCATTATCCTTGATGATCATGAGTAAATTAAAGGTTCCTTGGAGCCTAAAGGCTCCTCAATAGAGGTTTTTTGGACCATATCCAAGATTTTCAACCAGGCTTTTATCGATGTTCCCTTTTATTTATCGGATTGATGTCAAATTACACCAGTTATTAGACAAAACAATTGAAATTTGGCATACTGTATTCTTAAGGCAATCTATATTTCCGTGCAAACGATAAACGATGATAGTTTTCTTTAGACCACTCCCAATACAATTTTCGGACAATTTTCTATTTGCAACTCTTTTCACAAATATTGAAAACGGCTTGATCAATATTATAATTTTCATGGAAAACCACTCGATCCGTATTATCGTTTCCATGAATGCTAATATCGATTGCCCTAAAAGAAACATTTAACCAAACTTCAATCTTTTTTTTCAGTAATGCGTGCAATTTTGTGAACAAACTCCACAAAGGGAAAACTGATTGGAGGCTTATTGAAAATGCTACGTTTTGTTTAAAGAAAACAACCGCGTCGAGACACCTTAATGAGATGTTTCTTTACAAATCACAAGTTCGTTGCCAGGGCTTTTTCCTACTAGTGAAAAACCCTGGGAACGAGATATATAAATCGTAAAAACCAATTGCAAGCTCCGTACCAAATCCGGCGGAAGGAAGGTCTTTTCAGCTAAAACGAGAGCGTTTTCCGGTTTTAATCAGTTACTTACACTGAATATCCACTGTAGATGCATCGGAGGTATCATTTCCAAGGCTGTTACTCGCCACACAACGAAACTCTCCGCTGTCTGTCCTGTTCACATGCGTTATTGTCAACTGCTTTTTGTCTGCTGAAAAACTGATCCTCCCGCTTTGACCTACAGGAGATCCATTTCTGGTCCACGATATTGTCGGTACTGGATTTCCATCAGCTTTGCAAGATAAAGTTACGTTCTCTCCTTCTGATTTTGTTTCGGCTTCTGGATGAACAGCGATCTCCGGTGGATCTGTAACAGTAAAACAATCAGCCTAAGAACTAACAACGCAACAATGTGCATGTCACAATTTAGTAGGGTTTATTTGAGAAAAATTTGATGTAAGTAGTAATCGTTGATCAGATACATACATACCTGGTAAAATATTTCAACGGTGATATTTGACGACTGAGCGCAGGTAAATTGGTGACTGACCTTGAGTTCAAAATTCGCTTATCGGGTATATATATTATAATAGTAATAAGCTCACATGCCATGGGCATAATCCTTACATTGGTTATTAGAGTTGCTAATGAAGGAAAACAATTGCTTGGATTTACGGGTTTTCGGCAATCGTTGTGAATACTGTAGATTTCTTGTGGGTGGCAGTACAGGCCAACTGCTCGGTTTCGATTTATCAAAACAAGACACTATACTCACACTGGACATTCAGTGTAGCAGCATTGGATGTAGCATTTCCTAGGCTATTATTCGCCACACATCGGTAGTTTCCGTTGTCTGTTCTTTTGACATTGCTAATTGTCAACTGTTTTTTGTCATCTGAAATACTGATCGTCCCGCTTGTATTCACAGGAGATCCATCTCTGGTCCACGATATTGTTGGGACTGGATTTCCATCCACGCTACAAGATAGAGTCACGTTATCTCCTTCTATTCTAGTTTGATTTTGAGGATGGGCAGCGATCTCTGGTTGATCTGTAACAAACAAGACAATAATTGTCATGAAGAGGAATTTTGATAGTATGAACTGAAAACATTTCAAGACTATACGAGCCTGTTTTTAGGTTTTAAATGGATTTAAGTTTGCAAGTTACAGTGCGACTATCGACGCCATCCCAGCCAAGTATTTGCAAATTTACCACCAGCGTTTGAGTGTTAAACGATAAATATGGCCACTAACTCATTGCTTCTGCAGTGTGCAGCTTGCTTAGATGAATGAATTGTCAGAAATGCAGTGTTAACATCCCATGTTTTCATTGGTTAAATTTGAACAGGATCTTTGCTTCCTAGGTTGACGGGGTTGCACTGAAACTGGAAACTGCAGTAATGTCAATTTTAGCCAATTTTTTTTTGTGGAATTTTCAAAAACATAAATGTCAAAAGTCGCTAATTTCTGTTTCTCCGTTTCGTGCTAAACCCAATAGGGGCAAGGGGCCTTTCAAACTTGCAGACAGCAGTGGTTTGATCAGTTACTTGCACTGATATCTAGTGTAGCAGCCTTGAAGATCTCATTTCCAAGAATGTCGATATGATATGAACTTAAGAGCTTACCTTATAACTAACCGCTCTTTGGTTTCAAAAATCAATATTTCAAGTCATTATTTCAAGTCATTATCCTTGATGATCATGAGTAAATTAAAGGTTCCTTGGAGCCTAAAGGCTCCTCAATAGAGGTTTTTTGGACCATATCCAAGATTTTCAACCAGGCTTTTATCGATGTTCCCTTTTATTTATCGGATTGATGTCAAATTACACCAGTTATTAGACAAAACAATTGAAATTTGGCATACTGTATTCTTAAGGCAATCTATATTTCCGTGCAAACGATAAACGATGATAGTTTTCTTTAGACCACTCCCAATACAATTTTCGGACAATTTTCTATTTGCAACTCTTTTCACAAATATTGAAAACGGCTTGATCAATATTATAATTTTCATGGAAAACCACTCGATCCGTATTATCGTTTCCATGAATGCTAATATCGATTGCCCTAAAAGAAACATTTAACCAAACTTCAATCTTTTTTTTCAGTAATGCGTGCAATTTTGTGAACAAACTCCACAAAGGGAAAACTGATTGGAGGCTTATTGAAAATGCTACGTTTTGTTTAAAGAAAACAACCGCGTCGAGACACCTTAATGAGATGTTTCTTTACAAATCACAAGTTCGTTGCCAGGGCTTTTTCCTACTAGTGAAAAACCCTGGGAACGAGATATATAAATCGTAAAAACCAATTGCAAGCTCCGTACCAAATCCGGCGGAAGGAAGGTCTTTTCAGCTAAAACGAGAGCGTTTTCCGGTTTTAATCAGTTACTTACACTGAATATCCACTGTAGATGCATCGGAGGTATCATTTCCAAGGCTGTTACTCGCCACACAACGAAACTCTCCGCTGTCTGTCCTGTTCACATGCGTTATTGTCAACTGCTTTTTGTCTGCTGAAAAACTGATCCTCCCGCTTTGACCTACAGGAGATCCATTTCTGGTCCACGATATTGTCGGTACTGGATTTCCATCAGCTTTGCAAGATAAAGTTACGTTCTCTCCTTCTGATTTTGTTTCGGCTTCTGGATGAACAGCGATCTCCGGTGGATCTGTAACAGTAAAACAATCAGCCTAAGAACTAACAACGCAACAATGTGCATGTCACAATTTAGTAGGGTTTATTTGAGAAAAATTTGATGTAAGTAGTAATCGTTGATCAGATACATACATACCTGGTAAAATATTTCAACGGTGATATTTGACGACTGAGCGCAGGTAAATTGGTGACTGACCTTGAGTTCAAAATTCGCTTATCGGGTATATATATTATAATAGTAATAAGCTCACATGCCATGGGCATAATCCTTACATTGGTTATTAGAGTTGCTAATGAAGGAAAACAATTGCTTGGATTTACGGGTTTTCGGCAATCGTTGTGAATACTGTAGATTTCTTGTGGGTGGCAGTACAGGCCAACTGCTCGGTTTCGATTTATCAAAACAAGACACTATACTCACACTGGACATTCAGTGTAGCAGCATTGGATGTAGCATTTCCTAGGCTATTATTCGCCACACATCGGTAGTTTCCGTTGTCTGTTCTTTTGACATTGCTAATTGTCAACTGTTTTTTGTCATCTGAAATACTGATCGTCCCGCTTGTATTCACAGGAGATCCATCTCTGGTCCACGATATTGTTGGGACTGGATTTCCATCCACGCTACAAGATAGAGTCACGTTATCTCCTTCTATTCTAGTTTGATTTTGAGGATGGGCAGCGATCTCTGGTTGATCTGTAACAAACAAGACAATAATTGTCATGAAGAGGAATTTTGATAGTATGAACTGAAAACATTTCAAGACTATACGAGCCTGTTTTTAGGTTTTAAATGGATTTAAGTTTGCAAGTTACAGTGCGACTATCGACGCCATCCCAGCCAAGTATTTGCAAATTTACCACCAGCGTTTGAGTGTTAAACGATAAATATGGCCACTAACTCATTGCTTCTGCAGTGTGCAGCTTGCTTAGATGAATGAATTGTCAGAAATGCAGTGTTAACATCCCATGTTTTCATTGGTTAAATTTGAACAGGATCTTTGCTTCCTAGGTTGACGGGGTTGCACTGAAACTGGAAACTGCAGTAATGTCAATTTTAGCCAATTTTTTTTTGTGGAATTTTCAAAAACATAAATGTCAAAAGTCGCTAATTTCTGTTTCTCCGTTTCGTGCTAAACCCAATAGGGGCAAGGGGCCTTTCAAACTTGCAGACAGCAGTGGTTTGATCAGTTACTTGCACTGATATCTAGTGTAGCAGCCTTGAAGATCTCATTTCCAAGAATGTCGATATGATATGAACTTAAGAGCTTACCTTATAACTAACCGCTCTTTGGTTTCAAAAATCAATATTTCAAGTCATTATTTCAAGTCATTATCCTTGATGATCATGAGTAAATTAAAGGTTCCTTGGAGCCTAAAGGCTCCTCAATAGAGGTTTTTTGGACCATATCCAAGATTTTCAACCAGGCTTTTATCGATGTTCCCTTTTATTTATCGGATTGATGTCAAATTACACCAGTTATTAGACAAAACAATTGAAATTTGGCATACTGTATTCTTAAGGCAATCTATATTTCCGTGCAAACGATAAACGATGATAGTTTTCTTTAGACCACTCCCAATACAATTTTCGGACAATTTTCTATTTGCAACTCTTTTCACAAATATTGAAAACGGCTTGATCAATATTATAATTTTCATGGAAAACCACTCGATCCGTATTATCGTTTCCATGAATGCTAATATCGATTGCCCTAAAAGAAACATTTAACCAAACTTCAATCTTTTTTTTCAGTAATGCGTGCAATTTTGTGAACAAACTCCACAAAGGGAAAACTGATTGGAGGCTTATTGAAAATGCTACGTTTTGTTTAAAGAAAACAACCGCGTCGAGACACCTTAATGAGATGTTTCTTTACAAATCACAAGTTCGTTGCCAGGNAAGATTGATACTCATAGTTAACTGGTTTTGGCATCGAACAGTAAAATATTTTACCACTGAAACATATTTCTCGCCGTTGTAAACTTTGATATTAATGTTCGTCATGAAATGTATGATGAGGTAAGCATAGCATTCTTGCAGAGGATCCTGTCCATAATAATTTCCATTAAGCTGATGCAATGTGTATCCTTCCTTCTTTGTAGGTGAAAATTAACTCCCTTATGCCTGGCCACACCCATGAAGATATTGACCAGCTTTTCTGTCGGATTGCTAAGAACGTTGCCAAGAACAACATCAGGATATTGATTGGTATATTTGTGACCTAATGAAACTCTTATTAGCATAACTGTAAGGACGTTGCTGAGGAAAACATTCTTTTCTTTAATTTTTGCTCAAATGATTATTGCTTCTAACGTACCTAATATCGCTTTCTTATGCTGCTTGCTTTATTGAGATCTTTTCGCTATCGTTGTCCCCGCACCCGTGATTCACGAGAAAGTACTTATCACAGAGAATCTTTCATCCTTTATTTTGGTTATTCAAGTCTTCACCACCTTATGATAATTGTTTAGATTTTAGAATTGATGACAGTGGTGAGCCAGGGGTACACACCTTCTCCATATGTAGAGTTCGTTGATGTCATTTATGATGTCCGCTCATGGTTACGCGCCACAGAAACAGAATTGCACAATATTAGCAACCCCTACTGCTTTGTGTTGAAGGAAAATTCTGATGCAGATGTTGTTTTGAAATACAAAAATTGATCAAGAGATAAGATGTGGAAGCCAAGTTATTTGACTGATGAGGGCTTGGTGATACTGAAGGTTCTTAACTTACAATTATTTTTTCCATAAATAGAGCGTGTGATTGTACGTCTGTACATAAACAAAAGGGCCAGTCGACAAGAGGGTGGGCTTAGCAATATGTACAGAAAGCCCAAGCAAATTTTCCTATCGAAATATTTGGTTTCTTTGTTTTATTTTATAATGACGAATACTAAATTTCCCTTCATTGGTAAAAAGTATTTTTTAATGTTTTGCAAGAGGCAAACAAAGTGCCTCGTGGCGTGCCGAATTGTGTTCCCCCATCAGACGAAAAGATTGACGTTAAAAGGCTGAAGGATGACATCCCAAAGTTCTTCCTTTCAAGGTCATTTGAAGAGCACCATCAAAAATGGTGGATGGACTTCCTCGGTGATAAAGAAGCTATTTTCAAGGCACCAGATCCACCAACAACCTGGCCTTTGGAGGATACAGTCCGCATAAAAGAAAGACAACTTTCATCCGCTGATGAGCCGAGCGATTCGAGACATCCTCCGGATATAGCGAGGCCCGCAAATGTTCAGCCCGAAGGTGAACGCCTTGTAGCACAGCAGCTGGACGAAATACCTGAGGTAAAAGTTAACAACTGGCTGCAATACTAGAACAATACTCATTATTGGTACGGTTTACGTAATTTAAAAAACACAAACATGTAACTTGGACATTGCAAATGATTGACTCAGGAGAAACATGTGGCCGCTCAGGGGAAACATATGTCATGTGGTCACTCACCCAATCAAACAATCTATCCCATGTTTGGTTTTCATCTAATGGTTTGACTTGAGGATGCAATATTTCAATAGCCTTACCAAAATTAAAAACAATGTTTGCTACAAACACAGGAATGAGATGTTTTGTAACTTTTTTTGTCCGCAGGTATATACAGGTCGATACCAGAATCCACGAGCGTTGGCTACTCGCGTCAATAGAGTTTCCAATCCTTTAGAAGCATTAAGGCCGGGTGTTTTGGTGGCAGTTAATATTAATGGCTACAAGAAAGTTCCTGCTTTAGGGAAAATAATCGCGGTGGACGAGTCTTCGTTTGAAATAGAGTACTGGAAAGGTTCTTGGAAGACGGAATGGAAACTTTGGGAAGTGGCAAGTGGAAACGTATGGACAGACATACTGCCAAAGGAGTGTATTCTGTTGGTTAATTTCCAGTTAAATGAGAACAACAAGCTTGTAAATGAGACTTATAAGTATCTCAGGGACACGTATGAAAAACTAAAAGAAAGTTAAACTGAAACTGAGAGACGATAAATCTCGATTAACCCTTTGTATTACTTCTATACGAGAAAAAAAAGCAGAAAGTATACAAAGTTATATGAAGGACAGTGAGCGCACACCATATATTCTTATCAAGAGCAAATTATTGTTTTACATGCCTTTTGCACGAGCTTGTATAGTTAGTTTTGTACAAATCGGCAAGTTGAATTAATTACATTGATGTCAACTTTTATCCTGCAATAATAAACAACTTTCGGTACGTTTTAAACATACCAAAATGAAGAACCATCGCCTCTTCAGTAAATTTGGAATCGAAATTTGTCTTAACAAAGATGAAAGCGATAAGTTTCAAAGGCGCATAAGACGAGGTTGTACCTTGTGTTATTTGTGTATCCTAGCAACGCACAATATACGTGTACAATGTACATGTATCCTAGCGAGGAACATGGAAATTTCCATGTCCCTTGCCTTATGTTTTACTGCGAGGTACATGGAAATTTCCATGTACCTTGCCTTATGTTTCATTGCGACGTACGTGGAAATTTCCATGTAGATTGGCATATGTTTGCTTGCGAAGTACATGGAAATTTCCATGTACCTTGCCATATGTTTAGCTGCAAGGTACATGGAAATTTCCATGTACCTTGCAAAGAAACATGGCAAGGTACAGAGAAATTTCCATGTACCTCGCCTTATGTCTTGTTGGAAGTACCAAATTGACAGAGGTTACCCCAATTACCGATAAATTTGCCAATCGTTTTCAAACGTGGTAATATTAACAAAATTCGCTTTGTTTCATGCCAGGAGAAAGCTGCCTTTTAAATCCTTTTTACCAAAAAGGAACATTTAGTCCTACTTTTTACCATGTTTGTTGCCTTCGTTGAAAAAACACTCCTTTCTTAAGCCGATTCTTGCTACTAGATCCTGGCGAAAACCTTAACTTTTCGTGACATTTTTACCATAGCGGTCTTTAAAGCTCTGGTCCTAGTAAAGATTTCAGTTATTCACCCATTTCTTACCAGCTGTCGTTTTTGTTACTCGTGGCAAAATCTAAGCAGTTAATGCGAAATTCTGCCAAAACTTTGACCACCCTGGTAAAATAATAGAAAACGAGGATATCTCTTGCCAGATTTGTTCTTTCGATCTGGAAAAAATTTAAGCTGATTTCCTTTATTTGTTCAAGAAATTGCGTTTTAGAATATCCCGTTCGCTTTTAAAACGTTTATACTTTGTCAAGTATTTCATGTTACATCGCTTATGTGAGTTAATGAGTAAAAACCAGCTTTAAGTTACGTGTTTACCGCAACCACTGTAAAAACTAAGCTTAATATATAGTCTCGTGATTCCTTCAAACCAACATTGATAATCAGACTTACTGTCTTTTCTGTGAGGATTGGTAATGATGCAACTGTTTGGTTTTTATTTATCAACCAAGATACAAGACTTACATTGTACATCCACTGTAGCAGCATCGGATAAGGCGACTCCAAGGCTGTTGTTCGCCACACATCGATAGTTACCATTATCTGTTCTTTTTACATTCGTTATTCTCAACTGGTTTTCGTCTGCTGAAAAACTGATCCTCCCGCTTTGACCTACAGGAGATCCATTTCTGGTCCACGATATTGTCGGTACTGGATTTCCATCAGCTTTGCAAGATAAAGTTACGTTCTCTCCTTCTGATTTTGTTTCGGCTTCTGGATGAACAGCGATCTCCGGTGGATCTGTAACAGTAAAACAATCAGCCTAAGAACTAACAACGCAACAATGTGCATGTCACAATTTAGTAGGGTTTATTTGAGAAAAATTTGATGTAAGTAGTAATCGTTGATCAGATACATACATACCTGGTAAAATATTTCAACGGTGATATTTGACGACTGAGCGCAGGTAAATTGGTGACTGACCTTGAGTTCAAAATTCGCTTATCGGGTATATATATTATAATAGTAATAAGCTCACATGCCATGGGCATAATCCTTACATTGGTTATTAGAGTTGCTAATGAAGGAAAACAATTGCTTGGATTTACGGGTTTTCGGCAATCGTTGTGAATACTGTAGATTTCTTGTGGGTGGCAGTACAGGCCAACTGCTCGGTTTCGATTTATCAAAACAAGACACTATACTCACACTGGACATTCAGTGTAGCAGCATTGGATGTAGCATTTCCTAGGCTATTATTCGCCACACATCGGTAGTTTCCGTTGTCTGTTCTTTTGACATTGCTAATTGTCAACTGTTTTTTGTCATCTGAAATACTGATCGTCCCGCTTGTATTCACAGGAGATCCATCTCTGGTCCACGATATTGTTGGGACTGGATTTCCATCCACGCTACAAGATAGAGTCACGTTATCTCCTTCTATTCTAGTTTGATTTTGAGGATGGGCAGCGATCTCTGGTTGATCTGTAACAAACAAGACAATAATTGTCATGAAGAGGAATTTTGATAGTATGAACTGAAAACATTTCAAGACTATACGAGCCTGTTTTTAGGTTTTAAATGGATTTAAGTTTGCAAGTTACAGTGCGACTATCGACGCCATCCCAGCCAAGTATTTGCAAATTTACCACCAGCGTTTGAGTGTTAAACGATAAATATGGCCACTAACTCATTGCTTCTGCAGTGTGCAGCTTGCTTAGATGAATGA